TTTCTTTCTTTCTTTCTTTCTTTCTTTCTTTCTTTCTTTCTTTCTTTTTTTTTGAAACAGGGTTTCTTTGTATGTAGCCTTAGCTGTCCTGGAACTCAATGTAGACCAGGCTAGCCTTGAACTCAGAGAGATCCGCATACCTCTGCCTCCCAAGTGCTGGGATTACAGGTGTGCACCACCACAGCCCTTTGAAGGCCGCCTTTTCTGTGGGCCTTGCTCATCATGGATGATTGACAGGGAGAACTGAGGGGTGAGTGGATTGAGGGATTGCATGCGGCATAGGGTGCTCAGAGGTCTGAGAAAAAGAAAAACAAAGGTGCATCTTGGTGGCCAGCAAGCACTTCATGAGGGAGGGGCTTCCTGAGTGGTGATGGGGTAGGCAGTGGAGAAGGGCTGTGGTCAGGTTGGCCAGGTACCACGGTCAGCCTTACTCCGCCATGGTCCAGATTATGTAAAAGAACCTGCTGCCTCTGCTGTGGCCACACTTCCAGGAAGTGGGAAACGAAACAGGCAAAGGGTTTCAGGAGGCCTTAACAACTTCTTTATTACACCTGCCCCACCAGGAACCAGGATCATCTATGACCGGAAATTCCTGATGGAGTGTCGGAATTCACCTGTGGCCAAAACACCCCCCAAGGACCTGCCAGCCATTCCTGGGGTCACTAGCCCTACCAGTGATGAGCCTCCCTTGCAAGCCAGCCAGAGCCACCTGCACAGCAGCCCGGAAGACAAGCAGGCGGGCGGTCAGTGGCTGGGCCTCTCCGCACCCTGAACTGGGAAGAGGGTTGTGTGGGAGAGGGTGATGGTGACTGTCCACCTTCTGAGGAGCAGCTGTGGAGATCCCAGAGGGTGGGGCGCGGGTGGGAGGCAGAGCTCCCATTGGTGCCAGGTTGCTCCTGCATAGCTCCAAGGACCTCCGGACAGCTGATCTTCTGTACCACCTAGTTAGTGAGGAGCTGGTCTAAAGTGACAGTGGCTTCACCCAGCACCTTTCACCAGCCCGCCTCTCTGTATAGTTGCTTCCTTAGGATGACCACCCGCACCACCCTTGAATCACGGTGGTGATATTTGTGGTGTAGGTGACAACTTAGCAAAAGACATGGTGTACTTCCCTTCTAGAAAATCACGTGTCTGCAAGAAAAAACAGAACAAAACAAACCAACCTAGGCATCTCCTGGCAGGTTACTGGTTATTTAGTGGATTGCTGATGAAGACAGGCAGACAATGCCTCCCATTGTTACTGAAGCTTTGACATTTAAAGCTAGGTCCTTCTTGGTTGTCCGCTCCTCCCGAGAGTAATCAAAGCAGCTACCCTGGCAGCCTCCTGTGAGGAATGACCTTGTGTTCTTGTGGCAGAGTGTCGGAGCTCTCCGCTGTGGGTTAATGTTGCACAAGCATGTCCACGTGCCCTCCGTCTCGGGAGGACCACCTCTGCTGCTCCGCTTTGAAGGCAGTGCTCCAGGCCTAGCCAGGGATCTGCTGACACCCACTGACCCCGTAGGATGGGATTGCTAACTACCCCAGGAACCCAGCAGCCGAGACAGACATTTACCTTGTTTAGATTGAGATGGAGGTGGTGATGGAGGGGAGCGGTGACAGGAAGGGGCATTTGACTGTGTGCAGAGGGCAACTGGACAAGTGGTTCCCAAGCCACACATGTGGGTCCCTGCCCTGTGTTCAAGGATGGAGGGACACCCTGGTCACCACAGTGCTTCCTACCTTTACCCGTATACCTCAAACCAAAGATGACAGAGTTCAACAAAGTTAAGCTGCACCTGAAACTGTCACCATTAATTGGAAGGCTGTCATTTAACCATGCTGGCACACCTACCTTGCTCCTAGTTCTGATGGTACGCTATCTCTCAGCTCCACGTAGTGGCCTATTAGACCCAAACAGTGTTAGCATTAGTAGGGGGGGATGGGAAGGGGAGGGGAGGTAAGGGTTATGGGTGCATAGTTTTAACTTTCCTCACAAGAAACAAAACTCCAGTCCTTGAGCCACATATTAAAAACTGCATTTACAAGCTGGGTGTGGTGATGCACCTGTAATGCCAGCACTCAGGAGGTAGAGGCAGGCGGATGGATCTCTGTGAGTTCGAGGCCAGCCTGGTCTACAAAGCAAGTCCAGGACAGCTAAGGCTATCCCCCGAAAAACCCCAAACAAATAAATTGAATCTACAGAAAATTCAGCACTGTCACCTCTCTTATGAGGAAGCCTGCTCTCTTATCCCAGTCAACTTCTCTCTTTCTCTTTGGCAGCCTGTATGCCTCCACTCGACCCACAAGAATCACACAGACATTGTCCTTGGCCTCCAATCCTGGAGTGCTTTCACTTGCCACTTGCTTATTGGCCTTCTGGTCTTTTCTTTCCACAGGTGACGAGTCACAGTTTGAGATGGACATTTAAGGGACCAGCCATAGGACGGAGTAATGCTTCTGGGGCCCTGAGGGCCTCAGGAGGAGAGCCAACGGCAGCCAGGCCTTGTACCAGGCAGACATTGGGTGTGGGCCAGGCACCCGGTCCTGCTCCTCAGGGCACCTGTTTTGCCTTCTGTTTTGTGAACACCAGCGCATACCTCCTTGTGCCTCTGTTGGTATCGAGCTGCTACTCCAGAGGAAAAACTCTCGCCTGTACCCTGCCTCAAGTGCCAGGAAGTGGACAGAGGGGCCTGTCAGAATGGTCTTCTGGCAATTCTTGCCTCCACCTCTGGAGCACACCCACCGTTTCCTTAGGTTGGGGTATCTGGGAAGGCTATTCTTCACTTCTTTCCCTGAGAGGAAATAAAAGCCACATTTACCCTAGGCCCCAAGTTGGGCCCTGTCTGAACTGTTTTCAATTTAAAGTGATAACACAGTTACTGTCTGTTCAGTGCTTACACTGTACTTTCCTTTACGTTACCTCATGTAATTAGCATACTAGTCCTCTAGGTAAAGCAGAGAAGGCCTTACTGTCACTTTACAGCTGAGAAATCTGGCTGAAGATAAAAGCTTGTCCTTCGTGGGGCTGGGCTAGAGCTCTGCTGCTCTGTTGTTCTTGTTTTTAGTAGCAAGCATTACCTTCGTCCAGCGAGGTGGTCACCTTCCCCCTGAGCCTAGGCCATTGTAGAGCCTTTGATCCACAGGCACCTAGTCTCTGTCAATCATCTCTTTGTGTGTGCTGCTGTGGGGGATGCAGAGAAGGTAATCTGTCTGCCTTAAGGATTTTTACTGACATGTACCACGTACCCATTAAAAAAGGGTAGCATGAAGCAGATTGCATAGGATTGGTTATCAGTGGTCCACGAGGGGCGGGGCGGGGAAGCTTGGAGGAAATGGTGCAGCTGGGAATGAGAACGCATGAGTCTTGACTGCTAGGCTGAGAGTTGTGTGGCAGGTGTCTCAATACAGGGTGTGCTGAGGGGTGGGTTTCCTGGACCAAGGGCTGATGTGATCGTAGGCTCTATTAGCTTGCCATTTGGGGAGCAGCAGGCCTCGATGGCCAGATCTTTTGTTTGCCTTTTTTTTACAGTCCCTTCCAAAGGCAGCTGGAGTCCATGTGGTAATACATGAAAGGACAGCGCTTTTCTGTGTTGTCTGAACACATAACAGCATGGCCTCCTCTTGTATGTGGAATTATGGGGCCACTAAGGGGGCTACCACCAGAACAAAGGCAACTGGGAAATCTTATCTAAGCTAAATGAGAGGTTAGGTCGGCATTCCTGTTCTGTTAGCTTCCCAATAAAAGCGTCTCATTGCCCTGACATCTCAGCAGAGGCCTTGTTCACCAGTCTGTGCAGCCCAGTGCATTTCCCATTTTTTCAGGGTCAGTGTGCACTTCCCTGGTAGACCAGGAGCCATAAAAATGTAAAGATGAGCAGCTTTCCTCCCTGAGAAATAGATCCTTCGGAGAAGACCAGTCTCTAAAGCGTTAATTGTTGCTAGGCGCTGTGTGGTGGTAAGGCATTGCAACCCAGCCCTTGTTCTCCAGGAAGGAAGATTGTGGAGAGACGAGCCTCCTTCAGCTTGCCATCCCTGGGTGCTGGAATCCAAATGTTTTGTGGAGATGCTGTCTTAAACCTATCAGCTTGGCACGCCTCCCTACCCCGTGACCAAAACCACTGTTTGCATTTGAAGGACTAACTGCCAGCTGTAGACAGGTGCCATGAACATGTAATACAGAGTGTGTTCCAAACTTGAAAAACCTAATGGACGTGAGATATGAAAGCATTACTTGTGATTATCTGGTGCTCGGAGACTACCTGTTCCGTGAACTGAAGGAAACTGAGGCTTAAGAGTCTTGGAGAGTCGCTGGCCCTTGTGGTAGTTTTGATTCCAGGAGGTCCTGCCTGGACCATATATGGCCTGTGCTTCAAGGTTCCAGTATTTGCTGGAGTAAATACTGGAGGTGACAAGCTTTGCAAGCGTGGGTGAAGAGGCTCAACCAGGCAGTGAGCAGAGAGTGGCCTGTGTAGGAAAAGGAGGCTTGCTGACTTTTGATGCACTCACCAGAACAGTGTCTTGGGGAGTCTTGAGGCTGGGGTGATAACCCTTGGCGTAGTGCTTGCTGTACAAGCATGAGGCCCAGATCCATGGCGTACTGCCCTCAGCACCTGGGTGACAAGAGCTGGCTGGCTGTCTGTCAGCTTACCTCGGTTGGCATGCTTCAGTTTCAGTGAATGGTCCTGTCTTAAAAAAAAAATAAAAAAGCCTGGTGTGGTGGCACATGCCTGTAATCCCAGCACTCAGGGAGGCAGAGGCAGGTGGATCACTGGGTTCAAGGGCAGCCTAGTCTCCAGAGTGAGTCTAAGACAGTCAAGGCTACACAGAGAAACCCTGTCTTGGAAAACAAGAGTGGAGCATGTTTGAGTTCGAGTGACACTAAATATCTATTTCTGGCTTCCATGTGCCACACAGAAATGTGCACACAGGAATGCACTAAGGAAGCTGCGCTGGAAGTTGCTCAGCGAATAGCAAGCAAAAAGCATCTTGGGAAATGCACCTACTTAGTGTGAGCGCAGTGTAGCGACCTGAACTGCTGTCTAACTAATAGGGTGCTGTTGGTGCTCTTGTTTCTCAGGCTGCTAGACATCCCAGGTCATACCACCCCGCTTCTGGTACCTTCCAGTGTGAGAGAGAAGGAGGAGGTATCTTAGCTGGTGGAGCGCTTGCCTTGCTTGCACAAGGCCCTAGGTTCTGTGCCCAGCACCGCACAAACTTGGGTGTGGTGCACGACTAGAGGTGGAACTAGGTGGATCAGAAGTTCAAGGCCATGCTTGGCTCATTTTCAGGCCGGCCTGGGCTACAGGAGACCTTGCCTTAAAGTAAAAAGAAGACAATAATAAAATCAGTAAAAGGAATAAATAAATGACACCACAAAGGCCAGGGTCTCTGAAGTTTACAAAGTACAGGCCCATGACTGGAATGTGGCCGGCGAGAATAAAGTGGAGGTGGAGGCAAATTCTTCCCCAACTTTCCGAGGTCACAGCGCCGCCAAAAGCTGTGTTTAAGTATCCTTGTCCTCAAACGCCAGAGCCGATTTTGGTTTCGTCTCGATACTTGCTTACTGCTGCCCCCTGCTGGAGGAGTTTATCGAAGTAAGGAATACACGCTTCTCTCAGTTAAAGGCTATATTTCATTTGGAGTCCGTTGGGGGAAAAGTGAAGGAGCTGTTCGTAATGAAGGTCTAAGGAGTCTCTCTGTTAATATGCAACTGGACCCTCACTGACCGCAGGAGGGGCCGGCGCGTCGGAATGTGGCCGCACTGCCTACCCTTAGCTTGGGACCGGTTTGCAGGGTCTTGTTTCCTCATTGGGTCAAACTGGACCCGCCTGTGGCCAAACAGCCTTGTGATTGGCCCACTACTCAGGTCGTAGCCAAAGGCTTCCTTCCACGGAAACCAGGAACAAATTTTATCCTCGGTACATTTTCCTAGGTGTCCCATGCTCAAATCAGAGAAGAAAGACTGCTTTCTACTGCGAATCGGGATCCCAATGGTAAAAACACTTCACTTTGCCTTTTACAGGTTGGTTCAAATTTGCATTGGAATCGTGAATACAATTGTGCCCTCTTCTCTCTTTCTTTCTTTTTTGAAACAGGGTCTCATAGAGACATATAGCTCAGGCTGTCCTTGAACTCCTGATCTTGCTGCCTCCGTTGCCTAGTTGCAGGAATTGTCCAGCCTGGTTTTGCTTTCAGAACCTTTAAAGAACAAACCCACATCTCCATTCACATCTGTTTTCTGGCTTTCCAGCGGAAACCCTTGATTCTCCGTGGCATTTGTAGCATATAAGCTCAAATGACCTACCAGCATTAATACCCGAACAATTGAAAAAGTTGCTTTAAACCAACAAATTGTACGCATTTGTGGGGTACTGTCTTAAGTTTTCTGTTGCTGTGATAAAACATGACCAAAAGCAATTTGAGAAAGAAAGAGTTTATTTCATATTACAACTTTAAGTCCATCAGAGAGGGGGGCAAGGGCAGGAACCTGGAGGCAGGAACTGAAAGCGAGACCACAGAGGAATGCTGCTTACTGGCTTGCTCCCCATGGCTCGCCCAGCCTGCATTCTTGTGCAACTCAGGGTGTACAAGAATGTGTCTAGGGTGGCTCTGCCTACAGTAGCCTGGGCCTTCTAAATCAATTATCAATCAAGAAAACGTCTCACAGCCTTGCCCACAAGCCAATCTGATGAAGGTATTTTCTTAGTTGAGATTCTGTCTTCTCAGATGACTTTAGCTTGTGTCAAGTTGACAAAAACAAAACAAAACAAAACAAAACAACAAAACACCTAATCAGGACAACTTGGAACCAAACTCTTCCTCCATTGTCTCTTTGCATGCATGAGAATTCATTCTAGTTCTTTCCCTACTTATCACCTTGAACTTGACAGCTTTCTCCGTGTTCCTCTGGGGCCGAGGGTGGGTTGTCCCGAGCAGCCCACTATCAGCCCACCAGAGGAGGAGTGGTCTTGTCGTGTCAGCTGGCCACCACTGTCCTCAGGTTGGCATGTAGGTAAATACTCATCTGTTCAGTTCCCCCATGATTCCTGGATCCACTGTGGGGCAGATTTCAGAGGGCTCTTGGCCTTGGCTCACAAAAGATTAAGTTGTGGTTAGTAACGATGGCAGTTTACACTGTAACCGAAACCTTTGTCTTGAGAGAGAGATCATGTTAATGTCTTTTTTTGAACAGTCCCTGAATTTCTCAGGACAGCAAGTGCTTGGACTTTCCCTTACTCCTGCTCTCTGCTAACCTGTGTGGCACGTGCAGGGTTTCTTGTTTGCTTGTTTCTTGTACTTTACAGCTCCAGTCAACTGTGAGCCATATTATAGGGTCACATACTTCCTCTTACTATGACAGATACCCAAAGTAGTTATCTTACGAAGAGCAAAAGTTTTGAGCCTCTGCTGAAACGTGTTGGCAGCATTCGAGGAAGCAAAAATTGCTTTGTGGTCGAGAAGTTGGAATAGTAAATTTTCATTGTAGACGTGGCTGTCTTGGGAGTCATCTAGAAGATGCCTCTGGGTGCGTCTTTGAGGGGTTTCTGGAGTGTTTTCACCGGAGAGAGAGAAATATGCACCAAGCTGTTGGGACAGCACCATGCTACTGGGACAGCATGATGCTATTGGGGGCAGCTGCATGCCATTGGGACAGTGTCATGCTATTGGGGCAGCGTCTATGCTATGGGCTGGGGTCCTGGGCTGAATAGAAAGGGGAGAAGAAGGAAGCCAGATGAGCACCCCCGTTCCTCTTTGTTTCCTGACTGTATGCAGTGACTGCGCAGCACATGTCTGCTCCCTTACACCCCGCCCCTACTGATAGACTGTTGTG